CCCACCACAACGCCCGGCTATTTTTTGGTTGCAGCCATCATTGTTGTTTGGCGGGCCCAGGCTGGATTCGAACCTGCCAGCTCAGGTGTACGTGGCTGGCGCCTTAGCCGCTTAAGCCACAGGTGCCGAGCCTATGTAGTCCTTTAAAAGAAAGTTATTGACAATTACTGATATGAGACAACCTCCAAGACATGTATCTTAAAGCAAGATACAGTATGTTATGTACAGAAATGCTACTATATGTACAAAAAAGACAAACATGTGGTTTCACATGCAGGTATATCACTGGAAGAATACCGGTAGCATTAAACATTACCTGTTAGACAATGTTCTAAGATCTTTTCAAAAATTAACATTTAATCCTCACAACCCTATTAAGATAGTTGATACGATTCTCATTTTATAGATGAGAAAATCAAGACACAAGAGTCTCTTGAGACAGGGTGTCACTGTGTTGCCAGGCTTAGAGAACAGTGGCATCATCCCAAATGTTATCTAAATACACTGCCATGGAGAGCTTGGGGAAATAGAAACTCTCATACAATTGTGGTAGTGGTGTAAATGAATATTTCCTCTTTCAAGGGTGAAACCTCAAACTCCTGGACTCACGTGATCTTCATGACTCAGCCTTCCAAGTAGCTAGAACTATAGGCTCATGCCACTGCACTTAGCTAATTTTTTGAATTTTTGTAGAGAGAGGGTCTTGCTATGTTGCTCAGCTGGTTTCCAGCAATCCTCCTGCCTCGGCTTCCCAAAGGGATAGAATTATAGGTGTGAGCCACTGCACTGAGCCTAAATACACACACACACACACACACACACACACGCACATAGTATATGTTATATATATATCATTTTTTGACCTACAACATGGCAAAACATTTTATTTTTAAAATAATCTGTGCCATTAAGATAGGCAAAAGACTGTAACCTGGTTTCTTGTACCCTCAATGAATCCCCAACAATTAAAAAAAAAAAGATAGGCAAAAGACTATCATGAGCACACTACCAATAAGAGTCAATCTTACTAATACAGCTTACAAATTAAGATTATTGGCTCAGCGCCTGTGGCTCCAGCGGCTAAGGCGCCAGCCACATACACCTAAGGTGGCGGGTTCGAATCCCCAGCCCGGACCCACCAAACAACAATAATGGCTGCATCCAAAAAATGGCCAGGCGTTGTGGCAGGCGCCTGTGGTCCCAGCTACTTGGGAGGAGGAGGCAGGAGACTCGCTTGAGCCCAGGAGTTGGAGGTTGCTGTGAGCGTGATGCCATGGCACTCTACCCAGGGGGATAGCTTGAGGTTCCGTCTCAAAAAAAAAAAAAAAAATTAAAATTAAGATTATTTTCACTTAGCTTCAGAGAGATTAGAAAGGTTGATAATGCCCACAGTTGGGGAATATGAGGAAATGTGCACTCATACAATAGGAGGATAAAGTGGTAGAACTTCTTGGGAACTCTGGCCCTGGACTTACTAGTTTACTATGGATAATATAACAAAATACCAGAAACTGGGTGGCATAAACAACAGAAAACCTATTATTTCACAGTTCTGGGGACTTGGCAGGGATGGGTCCTTCTAAGGGCTGTGAGATGGAATTGGTTCCATGACTCTCCCAGCTTCCAGTCGTTTTCTGGCAGTTCTTGGCACTTCTTCCTTTGTAGATGCCTCGCCCAGATCTCTGCCTTGCTATATTTGCACAGTGCTCTCCCTGTGTGTCTCCAGATTTCCTTATTAAAGGATATGGTCCTACTGGATTAGGGCCTAACATACATATTCATAATAACACATAAAATTTCTATTTTAGCCATTTTTAAGTGTATAGCTTAGTGACAAGTACATTCACATTGTTGTACAACCACTATCCACCTCTAGAACTTTTTCATCACCTAAATGGAAACTCTGAACCCAACAACAATTTCTGACCAGATGCACACCTGTAATCCCAGCACTCTGGGAGGCAGAGGTAGAAGGATGAGCTCAGGAGTTCCAGACCAGTCTGAGCAAGAGCCAGATCCCATCCTTACTAAAAACATAAAAATTAGCCCAGGTGGTGGTACTCACCCATAGCCCCAGCTATTCCAGAGGCTGAGGCAGGAGGACTGCTTGAGCTCAGGAGTCTGAGGTTGCTGTGAACTAAACTGAAGCCACAGCCACAGCACTCTAACCTCTCAGACAGTCTCCAAAAAAAAAATTTTTTTTTTAAAAATTAAGATTTTTGCCATTTTACCCCCACATATAGTATGAATTCCTTAAAATTAAAAATAAGAGATAACATTTTCTTACAAAATCCCAATGCCATTTTAATTTTTTAAATTTATTTTTTCAATGTCATTTTTAGGCTTAACAAAGTAACAATTCTTAGGTGATTTGGTATCATCTAGTACCTACTCCATAATTTTCCTGATTGTCTCACAAACACCTGTTATAATTAGCTTGAAAGAATAGCTAAACAAGGTCCACACACACTACACGTGGTTACTGTGTTTCTAGGGTTCTTTAAATCAGAGCAGTTGGCCCTCCTTGTTTCTTTATGTTGTAGTAGTGACTCAGTTCATATATGCACCTATTTACAGAATAAAAAAATCTGCATATATTAAAGGGACCAAACACCGTGTACTTCGAGGTCCCGGAACTTGGTCTTATCTCGAAAGGCTGCAAATGGTTAGAGACACGGTATTCCTAAATTCACCTAAACCTCTTATGGTAACGCGCAACTCCGTCCTGGTCACACGACTGCCCCAGTCCCATCCAGCAAATCACAATTTTGGACTACGCACCTACACCTCTACAGCAGGGGGCAGGATTACTTCCTCTGGGAGCCCTTTCTAAAGCTAAACCCAGTGAATGGTTTCCCAGTTAGTAAACAAAGATAATCAAATGAAAAAGTTTCATCTGAATCCAGAGATAAATAAAGGAAATTGCTAGAGAATGTGGTGCTGAAGAAACATGACCGAATCAAACACAAACCGGAGAGATACTGGTGGAAACAGCAATCAGACTCGGCTGAATAGAGGGGAAGGGGAATCAGAAGTTACTGATAAGGAAGGAACGGAGGAGAAGAGTCGGATAAACAGGGGTGAACCTCTAGAGAGGGGTCGAAACCCGCTCCGCCACGCCACTCGGGGACAGAAACCACCACTCGGGTGAAAGCCCTCGAGGGAGAAAGGAGAGGCGAGCAGGGGACGGGAGCAAATCTCAGGGAGTAACTCCTGACGTTTGAGAGACAGTACTGGAGCCGGTTTTTCTGGGGGCTGGCGCAACCCGGTAAAAGGGCATGGGCACAAAGTCAAAACCAGTCACAAACCCCACCTTACCCCGCCCAGGGCGAAATCCAGGGCGCACCCAGAGCAGGTACTCGTGGGGACGACGAGCTGAACGTCCAGCCCGCGCCTCCGCCGCGGGAAGTAGTTCCCCGCCGCGCCCGCTCCAAAGGGAGCCGCGGTGGCGAGTCCTGAAGCCTTCAGTCCCTGGGTTCCGGCAGCGGCGGGAGCGGAGCCAATCCCTGCAAAGGAGGGCGTGGCTATCCCGGCCCATAAGATCCCTCCGCCCGTAGTCCAGGCTGTGAGGTCGAGGGAGCCGCCATTTTGGATGCTGATTCGTGGTTCCGAGGCCGGCGTCCGCTGTTTTCACTTCTGGGTTCGGTCAGGTGAGTGTGGCATTCTTGAGGAGGGTTTTCGTTTTCTTCTTCGCTCTACGCTCGGGATTTAGTAGTCCCCATCCAGCGGTAGTGGCCGGGGTTCAAACGACTTTAGAGGTGGCAGATAAAGAGATAGGGAAGGATCCTGGAAGTGGGGGGCAGGCCAGAGGTGAAGCCCGGGGAGCCGCGGCGCGGGAGGAGGCCCCGGCTAGGGGGATAAGGGCGTGGCAGGGCCGCGGGCTGCTTGGAGACCACTGGTCCTGGACCCTCGAAGCTGCCGAACTTTCCTGTTGTTCTCCCTGCTCCGAGGCGTCTCTTCTCTGGGCGGAAACGCCGCGGCCTGAGTCTGGGCTCTTTCGCTGCACTCCTGCTGGTCTAGTCTCCTCTGCCCTAAGAGATTCAGGAGGGTCGGTGTCTTCAGTGCCGTTAGGTTGCCTCCGAGTCCTGGCAGTCCCCGCTGAGTGGGAGGCCTCGTGGGCTGTCCCGGGGGGGGGGGCCCGGACTTGGGCCCTCTGTAGTCGGAGAAAAGTGCCCATTCTTTGCGCAGAAGCAGGCAGCGGTCTCTGCTCCCTTTCTCCGACCGCCTTTCGTGTGCAGTGGGACCCTGTGAGGAGCTTGCGGCCCTGTCCTTGCCCCTATCTGTATTCTCAGCGCTCCTCTTCCGGGATGTTGGAGGTGAGCACTTGGAACTCCCAGGTATAAACTTTAAGCAGGATGTGGACCCAAGAGCATCCATTTATTAGGCAATGGGACTGTAGGATAATCACAAAACACAAAGCCACCTGCACTCTGTAGTAGTAAACTGCAAGTCTGGTCTTTTGGGGGAATTGTGGGTTTTTTTTTTTTTCTTTTGAGACACAGCCTCAAGCTATCCCTCTGGGTAGAGTGCCATGGCGTC